CCCACACTTTTTCTAATAACATCCACCCACAACACAGCCAGAAAGGAAGAAGAGTCCATTTTACCATACTGCAAAGTATTAGCTAGTCCTCTTATCTCCCCCCTTTTCATATGAAATACATGCTATTTATACTATCATATGTTTATATGATGTTTTAATATAGCAGTGGTTCCCAAATTAGGAGATGCTACACTTACACGTGGGTACCAAGCCCCGTAGAAATGTAACTGCTAGTCAAGGTTGCAAGTCCAAAAGAATTAAATCAGCTGGCTTACAGAAGACACAATTACACACTCCAGGGTAATTTATATCAATTTTGTACACTGATGTAGCTATCTAAGGGTATCTGCATGTAGTGGAGAGCTATTTCTGTTCCTTGTGTTTGGTAGAGAGGGAGGAGATAACACCTTGTTTGCCTTGAGCAAATGCCTATCCCTAGATAAATTATGGACATATGACACCTAAACTGGTGTTACATGCTTCTATTTAACTTTACCTCTGATTCTTTCAGGAGTTATTCTACACTGACATGGGCAAAGTTGCCCTCGTTTAAAGGTCTGTGTTATTGGTCTGCTACTTCATATATGTGTGCAGTGCCAATTACAGTGGAAACATGTTTCCTGTCCATGCTCTTAGAACCCAAGCAGATCCTATTGTGCTACACATTGCATAAACACAGAACAAAAAAATCCCTGGATGCTATTTGTGCAGTGTGGTCTGCCTGCCCTGGTGGGGAGGCTAGAGGGCTACCAGCCACTCATGCAATGCTGGTCACTGCTCCCACACCCCACTTCACAAAATCCTGGATCGCCTATGTACATATGCAAATATATTAATGTTGTAACCCATATTGTGCACAATGATTTTCAGCTGCATCTAGTCTCCTCTTGAAATGCACCACTAAGTACATCTCCAGACACTGCTATATCCGCCAGACCACATCTCGAATGAAAAGTGTTCTTTTTTTCCCTCTTCAAAAGCTAAAGAGGGAAAGGGACTAAGGCAGAAGACAAGGTAAATAATGGCTCAGGTGATCTCAGCAAGAGAATATGAACAAAACTGATGAAGACTGAAATTCCAGTCTTAAGTACCACTTAATTTCATAGAAATTAGAGTTTGAACAATCAGTCCTAGTGCAAGTAATCTTAGCAGCACCCTTAGAGGTGTGCTGTTAAAATCCATACTTTAGATTTTACTGTGCCTATCAAAGGTTGTTGGCTCCATTTCAAGAGTCTGTGATAATATTTTTTGGTGGAGAAGGACACTTGCCTTGGGGGAAAAAAACCTTGAATGTTTACCAAATTTGCAGCTGGGGAAGACAGAACAGCATGTTAAAGTGACTTGGTTTAAAAGTACACAGGAGAGATGGTAGGGCAGGATGGCACAGGCAAGATGCTAGAAGACTGTATCCAGTACGTGGGAATTCCTGGCTTGCAATACTACGCTCTATTTAGTCTATGCAATCTCATGGTGTTGCAAGGTAATATCCTTCATTACTCATGGTAAGATCCTGCATTGCATCAACCCCACTGATGCCCTTTGTAGTCCTTTCCTCAAGTATGAGCAAGGATTCAGTTTGTTACAGGGTGCAATATGCTCAGTAGACCAATTGGTGTGAACCCTCATCTTTTAGGAGCTCTTTAGTGATCTAAGCAGTGTGAAAAAAGGACAGAAAAGCAACAAAGCTTGCCAACCAATGCTGTGAGAGGACTTTGGGGAGGCAGATGCTAAAAAAGTTAAAATAACTTAAAAAGAGGGTACTAGGGACCCTGGAAGTGGAGAGGGCGCTAGGGTCTGATGAACAGGACTGACTGAAACAAGATGAGCTGTGCACACATAGAAGGTTGCAAAGAAATGGATCAATCAGCCTAGCTAGTCTGTGCCAACCTGTTTAGATGGACTTAAGTTAAAATTAACTTTGCTGAATTTCTGACAAGCAAATTCTTACAGCAAAGTCTACCTTAATGTCTAGGTCCATAGAAATGATGTAAAACTACAGCATAAATTACAAATGAGAGACCCAGTGCTTGATGCTTTACAGGATTGGAAACCTTCAAGTTATAACTATAAATTATTAGCTTAGTGCAGGGGTTCCCAACCCCCGGGCCAGAGTCCCATACTGGGCCACGAAGGGTTGACAGCTGGACCGGAAGTGACCAACATACTGTGGATCAGCAGCCAACCCTTTTTTTATACCAAGTATAAAACAGGGTTGGCTGCCAGCCCGTCATATGCTGGTCACTGCTGGTCTGCAGTTTGCCAGTCCATGGTCATTTCTGGTCCACAGTATAAAAAGATTGGGACCCCTGGCTTAGTGTATAGAGACTGGTTTCACTTATAGCTTTAGTATAAATTTATATTAATCTCCCATTTCCCATGCTCCTTTAAGCAAGATTCAATTTCACGGGACGGCCATTTAAAAAAAAAAAAAGAAGGTACGTTCTGTCTCCAAATGCTATGTGCAAGAATGCAACTATAACACAAGAACCAGAGAGGTACAAACTCTTCTTCTCTTGGCTTGCTTACTCTGTACATGGGACAGCATATATACTGACCTACAGATGCATTCAGCCAGAGATCTTGCTCACTGCATGTGCATGTGTGTGCTTCCTCACATAGGAAAAGACCAAAGCCCTCTAGCTGTACGAAAGCATGGTGTCTAGCTCTACCAAGACAAAAAATAGGGTCTGCTCACAATCAAACTAGCTTAGGTTGAGTTAAATTTCTGGACTAGATTTCAAGGTGCATGCCCTTTAAAACATTTTACCCCATGATATAATCTCCCAGGGCAGTAAAAGTGCTAGGTATACGTTTGGAAAAAAAATCTGCCCTGAGTTCATCCAGAGACAAACTGCATTCAGTTTTTTGAAAATTAAATAATTCCTTACTATTAAATAAAATAAAATAAAAAAAGTCTCCCCAGATCAAAAATAGTCAGTCTTTCCAAACAGCAGCATAAACATCCCAGCCTTGAGGCCACCTAAACTCTGCCCAAATGAAAGCCAGGTGATACTTCACCAGGGTCCAGAAGGATACACTTGTAAATAGCAATAACCTGGAGCAGACTTGCAGCTACCTTCCTGTTTATGTATAGTCAGATGCCAAACCCTGGCATGCAATGCTCCATTTTGACCTGAAAGGGCAGCTTTTGGATTGAGCTGGAGTGCATGATGCTAGGATGTGTCACCCCTGTACCATCAAATCCCCTTTTCACAGCTACTAGAAAGGATTATGGGGCTTGCGAGCTGCACTTTGCTCACTCCCTGCCTCGTACACTAAACTACGTAACTCAGTAAAATGCATTTCTTTGGATTCCTCCTTGTAGCCCCAACAGTTTGAAACGCTCTGCTGGAGGGGTTGCAAAGTAGGTTTTCTGCTCCTCTGAGTATCGTTCCTTCACTTCAATGATATCCCTGTAGCTCCAGTCCTGCCAGTGGAAATTGAATTTCTCCAGCAACTGTATTCTTTTCTCCTCTGTGGTCACACAGTCGATAGGGGCATACTGCTCCAGGAACGGCACCTGAATTTCTGGAAATATGAGGATAGCCCGGATGGCAAACCAGCCTCCATACTGGGGATGTATACACACACCATAGATCTTCTGAAAGAGGGAAAAACTGGTACATGTTACTATTTCTAAACATTGCCCTGCCTCTGAACACAGACAGACTTTGAGGGAACCATGTGCAGACCTGGCCAATTGATATGGTACAGTAAATGCAAGAAAAGCAAATTCCTTCTTGCTGTTATGCTCCAAAGAATGTGCTTTGATCCCTCATTGCTTGTGCCCCTCCCCTGCAGTAAATCAACCACAAAACAGTGTTTTGGAAGGGTAATCTCTCTTTTTTAAATAAAAGCTGATTGCATTGCAAGTTTTGCTTAGGCACGGATTGCCAGATTTCTCTCATGGAAATGGAAAGGTTCTAGTTTGTTTTCTCATCCTTTTTTCTCTGCCTCAGCCAGAATTGGTCCCTATGCTACATCTGCCAGTGCTTTTGCCTTATTTAGATTAGGATAGCCCATTCTTCCCCACCTTCCTTGTAGGTTTTATAGATCTCACAGATTAGGATGATTTTCCTGTCATTTTGCTTACATTCTTCTCACTTTAGTCGGTTTTCTTCCATTTATGCCCACTACAATACCACAAAGAAATCTACTGCAAAGAAATCAACTGTTTGCACCTGTTGCCAGTGTTAGTGATATCTGGGAGGGGCACATAAAATCACTGTATTGGATTTAAGCATTTAATTTCCAAGAGAAGGAACCAGTGAGCAAACAATGTTTTTACATTCCCACTACCTGAGTGGCTCTTGAGGGACCCTTGGGTTTTGGCTTGTAGCTCACCTTGTCTCCCCAGGGATCACACTTCACATCCTTCCTCTGGTAATAATATGCTGCTCCAGACACATGGGCGGCTGTCTGTGCCAGAAACTTGGGTTTCCGGTTTGGCAACATCTCATAGTCATAAATGATATGCACCTTCTCATCAGGGAAGTGCTGGAAGAAAAGGCCAGAATGACTGGAAAGAGCATGCTCAAGGCCCTGTATTTTTTAGTTGGTACCATGTGCACCTAGGCTAAAACACAGACACTAGATTTCTCCCAGGGCAAAGCCTTGCGTATTTTAGGAATACAGAATAAAAGTCCACTCTGAAGTATGGAGATGACCCTTTTTCCACCAGGGCAATTGGGTGAATTTGAGTTAATTGTCACTGAAGGTGCTGTATATAACTAACTGTCCCCACACTAGTCAAAGCCTGAGACAATCCCATCTGGGATAAACCCCTAAAGGCCAGCATAACAGGAGAGAGAAAAGGAAGTCAAGCCCTCACTGACGCTCTCAACGGGGAGGGTTAAATTTATTTGGCCCTGCGGGCTGGATCCAGACTGTGGGGTCTCTCACAGACTGGATCCAGACCAGAGCTTCTCCTGAGCCAAGTAACCCACAGTCATGGGGCTATTTCCCTGCAGCTGCTGCATCGGGGAAGCTCCAGAGCCCATGGGCTTAGTGCCACTGCTGGTTGTCCCCCTCTCCCCTTTTTGTCTTGTTTCCCCAACAGTTAGTGTTTCATTGGGGCAGGCAGTGAGCAGTGGCAGTGTAAACCCCTTGCGTTCTGGAGCTGCACTGATGCAGCTGCTCTAAATAGTAAATTAGCATTAGGAATAATACTTTGAGCTTACATGACTGCTTTCCAATCATGAAAAGAAGTTTGAGACAAATCAAGTCACCACAACCCCATCAATACCACCACTTTACAGGTAAGAAACTAAGAGAGGGTAAAAGACTTCCCAAGAGTTGTCGCCAGCTCCCTGCTTTACCCGCTTGGTCCATGCTTTAGCAAGGGGAAATTGTCTTTAAAAGGCTTTTACCTCTTTCACAAGTGATAAGTGATGAGAAATGCACTGGTCTACTGGATCCCGGATCCTTTTCAGCAGCTGTTTGTTCACAAAGGGTTTGAAGGCTTTGTCAAACATGGAAGGTGTGCTGAGGACAACAAAAGCCAGGGTGTTGTCTGGGTAGGCCAGGTGAAAGGACGGCTGAAGAACAGTGTTGTACCATCCAACCTGCAGTGAACACAGAAAAAAACCCTCCGTTAAGAGAGCAGCACCAACATTGTGCCGGCAGCAGGAATTATAAAATGGAGGAGGCTGCAGCTGCCTTCATTGACAATTCAGCCGTGCAGTCTGCCAGCTGCAAAGTGCACCACTCAAATCAAGACGGTACACCACATGCAGGGATCTACAGTTTCTACAAGCTGCACTTCTATGTGAAAGGTAAGGAGGGCCTTAAACTGCTTGATATTGCACTTCGGCCAGCCCTGACCTAGAAACTAGTATGCAGCCAGCAGTCCTGCCGATGCAAATCAGATGTTTGATTTAGAAGTGATTTATTCTGCATGACAAATGTGCCTTCTCTGCTTCTCCTTTGCCCTCAGTTATTTATTGCTCAGGGCAAGGCTTTGGCTGTTGATACTGCATATTAATGTAAGGCTGGAAGGAATTTCGAGCACGTACCCAGTCCACCCTGCACATGGTATCAAGCATGTCCAGAATACCCCTTCTTCCCCAGACCTGAAGAAGGGCACTCTGTGCTGAAAGCTTGTCTATCAGTTCTTCCAATTATGCAGCTGGTCTAATTAAAGATATTACCAAACAAACCTTGCTCCCTGCATACTCCCCAGACGGCTTCAACAACACTGTGATCCTACAACAGCACCCCTGACAAACGCAAACTGGAAGAGATGACACTAGGCTCCATAACGGTAACATGGGTTATTACAAATTAAAATAGCGAACTGCAGTGCTCAAAGTCTGCTTCTCCCACAGGACAGTTTACTGTATATAATGAGACTGTACAAACAAGAAGCTGGCATGCCAAGAAATCGAGAGCTTCAAGATCCCTCCCGCTACTGCAGCAGGAAGCTGAGTGGGGGTGTTCTCCAAGACTGTCAAACCTATTTTGACATTCAAATGTCAAGGCAGAGTTTTTCTAGCAGGATTTTCCTGGCTCCCTTGAGGGTTTGTTTTGGAGCAACTGGCACTTTGTAGAGTCTGAGAGGACTGGTCTTATTTAATCTGCAGAAGAGAAGACCGAGGGGGGATTGAATAGCAGCCTTTACCTCCCTGCAGGGAGGCTGCAAAGAGGATGGAGCTGAACTGGTCTCAGTGGGGGCAGATGACAGGACCAGGAGCAATGGGCTCAAGCTGCAGCAAGGGAAGTTGAGGTTGAATATTAGGAGAAACTTTCTCACTAGAAGGGTGGTGAAGCACTGGGACAGGTCACCCAGAGAGGTGGTAAAAGCTCCAGACTTGGGGGTTTTCAAAACCCGGGCAGACCAAGCCTTGACTGGGATGTAGTTGGGGATGGTCCTGCTTGGAGCAGGGGGTTGGACTAGATGCAACCTCCTGAGGCCCCTTCTCACCCTAATTTCTATGACTGTATGAGTCATACCATTGTATGATTCATCTTCAAGAGGAGGTTGGATAAATTTCCAGCTGGGGTATTATGATCCCAGCACTTGTTCCTGCCCAGGGCAGGGGGTCAGATTTGATGATCTATTCAGGTGCCTTCCGACCCTAGAAACTATGAAACTATGCCTGGTGTCTCCTCTGGGTCCATTGTGCAGACCTTGCAAATCACTCTCCTCTCTGTTTTGTTAGCCGTTTGGTTGATCCTTGCTTTCTTTTAGTCCATCCCTGTTATTGAGGGATGGCCACTTTTGGTGTTTTTACAAGGACAAAATGGGCCCAGAGACTGCCACTCTGCCCCCACTGAAAAGGAGTAAGCAGCTCTTCAGTCACTTGATAGGTTGCATGCTTTGCTTCTTGAGTTTAAATGTGCAATTGTGAATGCAAGTGGTGCTACACGCTCAGCGGCACATTTATTCCCGAGCGGAACGTTAGTGCATCACACGGATTATGACACATCTAGACTTCAGGATTTCCCTTTGAGGCTGGACACATCATAATGCAGCGCAGTTGCAGTGTCAGAAATTAGGAGACAGAACAGGCCAAGACAGCAAGGAGACACGAGCAGGAGACTCAGCACAAGAAGTGCTGAGCACAGCAAGGTAATTTATAGCTACTCTGAAAACAATACCCTAACCTGGCTATCCATATGACTTGACTCTTTTTATGGACCACTGTGACCCAGCAGCTGCTTCCAGCTCTGCCTCTTGGTGTGTCACAGAGGTCATGGCTAACATGCAAAATTAAATCCAGCGGTTTTGGAGATAAATGCTTTCTAAGGGTCTGAAGTGGCAGGGTCTGACCACCTTCAGGGACAAGTGAAGCCAATTTGAAAGTCACTTTAAAGGAGTGGAAGGTGCCCAGCAACATGCTGGATCAGGACCCAGAAAGGAAATGAAGTGGCAGTAAAGCAGCCTCTTTATAAGCTCAGGCCCAGGAAGTCAACTCAGAGACAGGGATGCTTTCAAGATGGTGATTTTAGAAGAATTAATAGAAAGATTTTAATTTAAGTTTTATGCCCACTGGGAAATCAGTAGTCAATAAACTACCAACAGCTGCATCGTACAGAAAAGCCCTAATAACAACAACATTTTCTCCGGGTAGTTACAGCCTATTTGGGGAAAATGGAAAGTATACCAGATTTTGCTTGAAATACTAGAATGATTGCTTCTAAACAAAGCCTGTTTCCTTTGTGTTTTCACTGGATGAAGATTAGATCCTGTGACAAATCAGGAAAGGCAGCAAGATTTAGTTTGCTAAATATAAAGATTAAGCTTGATTTCTTCCCCAAGAATCAACTCAGACTATACTAAAATGTTTTAAAAAATTGTTCTTCCTTTCCCCATTCTCCACTCCTACTTGAGGTCAATGCTGATCTTATAACCTGACCTGCATAACAACTGCAGATTAAAACAAGTAATGAAGCCTTAACTTCTGATATAGAATTAACCACTAAAAAAACTAAAGTGAACCGAATTAGGACACTAAACAGCCAGATGATTTTTTTCCTACTGATCCAGTGTCTGGGTTGATTGAGGTAATCAACATTTGACTTAGTATTAGAAAAAGGAATCTCCACTTAAATTTTCTAGATGGTTTCATATTCAGATATTAAATTTTAGAAATGGATTAGAAACATTTAGGATGAAACTCTGCTCTCAGTTACACTGGTACCAATCTGGAATAATTCGACTGACTTCCAGTGGGCTGGAGACTGCTAGACACTGAACCCAAAATCCGAGCAGGACCTTGGTTTAAATCTTTGGTTGATCTGTGCTGTGTTGTCATACGCACATTGTTATTAGGCTTGATCTAGTTTAACACCCTGCCTCCCTGGACTTTTTTCTTAGCAAGGACCATCATTACCTGCATTGCAAGCTATGCACCATGCTTCTCTGTAAGTAAGGACCTACCAAAGATCACACAGGGATTTGCGTGCGGAGCCAATTTTTGCCGTCTTTTTGTGGTGAGCCCCATCCCTCACTGTCAATTGGCTAAGGAGCCCCAGCAGCGCTGCTCCTTGCTGCTAAGTGGCAAAAAACTACAGCATAATTAAATAGCAGAGTCCATGGAAATATCAAATATATTGCCACATTATTATAAATCTAAGTATTACATCTAAATCTAAGCATATTATGATTATCTAGCTTCTTAAAAGACAGCACCGTAACACTTTGGCACCTTCATTGAATCTACGTCACAAGCTCAGCCTCTCCCACACTCTACAGCTGCAGGGATCGCCGTGCTTTCCTTGTATCCCAGTAAGCTTTTATTTTTTTTCAGGTGATTCTGCACAGAACCACGGGAAACACGGTTTTTCACAGTGATCGTGGAAACCGCTGTTTTCCATGACAATCACAAAACTGTGATTGAAGAGAGTCCCTATCTATAAGCATTCCTTGGTTTCAAGTGACAAATCACTACTCTGAGCTGCAAGGAACCACGCAAAATGCTGTGGGATTTAAAGGTGCGGATCTGGGTTCCCCAAAATGTTGATATGCCGTGCAAAGGTGTGGACTTAGGTTTATGGGTGTGCATACTCCCTTTCCACTAATGGTGAGGAAAGGTAAGGAACAGATTTTTCTAATCTAAAAGCCTAACCTGAACATCTGGAAGGCAGCGCCACCTACCGTCTCCCCGCAGCTGTGGGCCTGCTCCCACAGACCTGCACCAGTGGCCACTGAAATCAAACAAAGTCTTTCCATGGGTATTACTGGATATGGTACTGGGTCCAGGTGTAGTCCCAGCACGCAAGTCACCTTGCTGCAGCCACTGCACAGTAAGGATGCGGAGCACCTCTCAAGGGCACCCTGCAGGTGCTAGACCTCAAATGGTAAACACCTGGAGCAGCTAACGATCCTGTGATCATTAGCAAACATTAGTCTTCGCAAGGAAGTAACCCCCACTGACACTTTGTGAACAATAAACTGAGGCACAAGTCAGTCAGATAGAAGGGGTCACCCAGAGAGGTGGTGGACTCTCCATCCTTGGAGGTTTTTGGACTCTCCATCCTTGGAGGTTTTTAAGGCCCGGCTTGATAAATCCCTGCTGGGATGATGTAGTTGGGGCTGGCCCTGCTTTGGACTAGACGTGACCTCCTGAGGTCTCTTCCCACCCCCTTGTCTGTGATTCTGTGACAGATGACCTGAACACATGTAAATAGCTCTGGCCAATAAGTCAGCCAGCTCTTCAAGGATGACAACATACAGTTTAGCAGAAGTGACTCAGAGCTGGAAAAATGGCTCTAAAAATACCACTGGGACATTCTTTCTTTATTCTGCTTCAGCGATCAGCAGCTCTCATTAGCTCAAGGTATAAGTCAAAGAAGATTTCCCCAAGCAATCAGCTTGTCTGCAGACAGCAAGTCTAATTTTTTTTCTGTCAACTAACTTAATATTTCTTTAAAATGTTAGCTTACAAAGAGTTTAATTTGCACAACGGAGGAGGGCATTCAGAAGGTGCACAACAGGACGCATAATGACTTTGTATAATCAGGATCTACTGACGCTTGAAGAAAATCCTGGTTTTCCCTTTGCCTTGTTAACAGTTAAACCTCACATCAATAAAACCTTCACTTGGAAGTTAAATATTGACGACTGTCTAGTACCCGACTGCCTTCCAAGTCCAACCGAAATGTTTACCCCAACAGAAGCCAATTATTCGTTCAGCGTCATCTCATGCAGCTTGTCTGCGAAAGGGAACAATCTTTCCTCCTCTTTTTATCCTACGCCAGCTGCGTTCCAGTCAACTCCTCTGCTGATTTTTTTCAGCTGGATGTTTCTCTCCTCCTTGCCTTCTGCATTCGCCATCTCAGGACCCGGGGAATACTTCTCCTTCCACCTTTACTAAAAAACACTTGCCCAGCTTCAGTGGCTACAAAGAAAATGGCACAGCCCATAAAACAGCGCAGCAGCTTTTGGGAGCCATCTGGAAGGGCGGTGATGTCCTCCCTTGAGCTGACAGACATCCTCCAAGGAGACACTAATACCACGTGGTAAAATTAAAGGGGGAGGGGAGGCACCCAGCACTTTGCAGGAGCAGGCTCCTTACAGGGAGGCCTTAACGCCAATGCTGAAGGAGACCGACCACGTCACCTTCCCACCGGGCGGCAAGCAGTGCCAGTAGAAAGCAGGGAACGGTGACCAGCGACAGCAACGGAAGGGGCGGCGAGTGCGAATCGCACGTGGATTTCCCGCCCAGTGCAATGTAATCCACAAGCAATTATCTGCTCGTGCTCACAGATCTAATTTTCATAGATTTCATCGACATTAGGGGCTGGAAGGGACCTCGTGAGATCATCGGCCGAGGCCATGGCCCCGTGACGTCACCCCGAGAACCCCCGCACCTCACCCCGCGCCGTACCTGGAGGGGATGCAGCTCGAAGCCGAAGGCGCACAAGGAGTCGCGGAGCCAGCGCTCCACCAGCGCCGCGCGCAGCTCCATCCCGCGGGGGCTCACGGGACATGTAGTCCCTTCGTGGCCGCGCGCGGGGCAGGCCGGGATCGCGGCGCGGGGCAGCTTGGGAGGCAAGCGTCCACGCCTTCCTCGCTCGATGCATTCTGGGGGGGGAGGAGGGAGGGAGGCGCGCAGTGCGTGGCGGGAAATGGGGGGTGTCGGCGTGCTCTCGTGGTGCATGCTGGGAGATGGAGTCCTGCCGCAGCCGCGAGCGGACTGCATCTCCCGGCAGGCCCCGCGGCCCGTTGGGGGAGGGGGAGGTCCTCAGGCAGGTTGACCCCGGGTGTCTGAGGTGGGGGAACAGGACTGGAGCTGTGGGGGTGGGGCAGGGGGTTGAGGGGGGCAGAAAGGAGCCCCCCCGCAGCTCCCCCTCCCCTCTATCGATTTCTCTGCTTCCTTGTAATGCGGCGATGCTCCCCCGGCTGGTGACCCCAGGTCTCTCCTCTCCGCCCCGCAGACCCATTCGAGGGCCGGGGCCGGGTTGTGTTGGCGACAGTAAACACTTAAAAGCCCCGGTCTCCTAGCAGCATGAATTGGGACACGCGGCTGGACTCCATACTGACTGAGACAGATGCCAGCGTGGCCAAAATAAAGGCAAGTTCAGCTGCAGTGTTTGGACATCTGAACCGCGTGAGCCAGCGATGCACCCATGTAGCCGAGAAGGCGACCGGCATCCTGGGCTGCACTGGGAGGAGCGCTGCCAGCAGATCGAGGGCAGTGATCCTTCCCCTCTATTCGGCACTGGGGAGGCCACATCTGGAGTCCTGTGTCCAGCTGTGGGCCACCATGGCAGAAAGGATGTGGACACATTGGAGAGAGTCCAGTGAAGGGCAATGAAAATGGTTGAGGAGCTGGGGAACAGGACTGATGAGGAGAGGCTGAGGGAAATGGGCTGATTCAGTCTGCAGAAGAGAAGACCGAGGGGGATTGAATAGCAGCCTTCACCTCCCTGCAGGGGGGCTGCAAAGAGAATGGAGCTGGGCTGGTTTCCGTGGGGGCAGACGACAGGACAAGGAGCAATGGGCTCAGGCTGCAGCAAGGGAAGGTGAGGTTGGATATTAGGAAAAATTTCCTCCTGAGGAGGGTAGTAAAACACTGGAACAGGTTATCCAGAGAGGTGGTGGAGTCCCCATCCTTGGAGGTTTTGAAGACCCAGGTAGACAAAGCCTTGTCTGGGATGCTGGAGTTGGGGCTGGTCCTGCTCGGAGCAGGGGGTTGGACTGGACGTGACCCCCTGAGCTCCCTTTCCGCCCTTGTTGTCTGTGTTTCCAACACGTCACTAAGATTCCAGCTCTGGGAAAGAGCTGTTTAAACCAGTTTGTTGTGCAGTGCTGGCAGTGTCATGGAGCACTGGATGTCAAGTCTCGGGGGTTGATTTTTGTAGCTGTTTGTGCTCCTGTGGTGAGGTTTCAGATCCCTAAATGATTCGCTAAATTCTTGGTGCTAGTACTTGGTTGACCAAGAAGATCAGTTTCATGCAGGACCTCTTGTCTTTGACTGTAGCAAATAAAGCTTCCTTTGCTAATGGAAGTGCTTTTGCCAATGTGCCAAGCATGTGAGCACCCAGGATAGGTGATAACTCACCTTAAAATGAAGAGGAAAGGGGTTCAGCCATAAGTAGGGCGCTGGACTGGGGAGGCATGGCTTGTGATTCCTGTGTTCTAGAAAATTGTGGAACGGACAGGTGGTGGCATAGCAAACACCATCGCAATTGAGTCCTTTTTGCCCTAATAAAATCCACCAGGACCCCACATGCATCGCAGACACATCTGGAACTAACACTCTGGAGCTTTTACTAACCAGTTAACTAACTAACTCTCTACAGTATGTTCTACTCTGTTCATTGAAGAGAGATTCTTTTTGCCTTCCCCAAGAATGTTTAATCCCGTATTGTGATGGACTATTTGACCAGGTTTACAGACCCTTCAATACATAGTAATTCAGAGGGAAGGGGCTTACTCCTCTGAGACAAACATTTTCCGTAAAGACCTGCCGCTGCCTCTCAAAAACGTAGGTAGCCTCCTTACTGTGATCACTGGTTGATTAAAGCAAAGGAACTTGCAGAAAAGGAGGAAGTGCTGCTTTGATGTGTATATTTTATTGCTGCTTAGAAGTATGGCAGGGAGTTCTGTTAAAGAGGAAGCAGTAGCAATGTTATTAAAGAGAGCATAGCTCAGTGCTCAGAGTGAGAAACTGCGCTTTGGGACTCCTCAGTTTTGTTCCTAGCTCTGCCCCAGGTTAGAACATGGGGTATAGAAATGTGCTTTAGGTGCAAATATAATTTAAAATCTACTGATGCTGATCCTAAGCAGTTAACAAAGGGGTAAAGGATGCAGTAACTGTCTTGTCAGCCTGGTTATGGTTGTGTAGGGCTCTGGGAACTCCATAGATTTTCCTTTCTTTGTAACTGTCCCAATGCTGCCCGGCACTACAAAATCATATTTAAAAATGTAAATGTCTTCTGAACACTTTGCTGTTTTTTTCTAGCAGACCTGAACCCTCTACTTCTCTGTCATCTTCTCACTTAATTGCTCTTGTTTCAGCCCAGTTTGCTTGGAGGGTGACTTGAGCAACAGGGGAGCACGTCTCAATCTCATTCTTCTAGGCCTGTCCCCTGCAATGGCTTGGATTTTATGCCAGGTTTCTTCTGCAGGCAGTGTGTGAAGCCTGTCCTTCCTAGGTGTGCAACTCTCACCTGTTCTTGCTGAAAGCAGGTGTTAGTATCTTTACTACATCATCTGGTTTCTCTTTATCCCTTACAGCAGCGACTGAACACAACCAGCATCTCTTCCAAAGGTAAATCCTCATCTGACTTTCTAAAGCATGTGGCGCTAGGGCATCTAGCATTTCATTGCACAGCAGTGCTTTGTTTCTGTATTTCAAGTGGATAGCTATAACTGTCTTTATTTTTATCTCTGTTTTATAAGAGCTGCCAAAGCCCTGGTTTCAAAATCCAGGTTTGTTCTTACCCCAGGTGGCAGACCCTTTCAAGCCTTTCTTTATTTGGGATTGGGTGGGTTATTTAGGCAGAAGTTCCAGGGTGAACATGCTAGCCTTTCCCAATGAGAGTGTGTACGATTGCACTATTTAAGCAGGAACAGGAAAGAATCTGACTGCTATCTGTACAGCTTCAGCTTGGCTACTTGTACAGCTTCAGCTTGGCTTTTTCCTAAGTTCCCTGCCTTAGGCATCATCAGCAGCAAATTTAAGAGTGCAGAAAACCCCAGGGGGTTCCTATCCTTGCAGCTCCTAGTAATACTTCTTGCTTTTCATCTCTTAGTGGATCTTCTGCTTGACAGAATAAACACAGAAGACGCTGCATTTGATGAATCCCTGGCCAGGTCTGTGCAGCCGTGTCCCACCTGCATAAATCTTCCACGCTGCAGGATGGCAACAGAGGAGCTAGCAGCCATCCGCAGTCAGCTGCATTCTCAAGCCAAGGTAACCCCAGGCTTACGGTGACATTTGTCTCCTCTGCTAACAGGAAAGAGATGACTTTTGCTAGTGTAGTAATGCACGTCCTTTCAATTGCATACCCAGCACATGGTATATGAAAACCTGTCTCCCCCTGAGCTAGTAGAGGCTCTTTGAGACATCTAGAATGGTCTCTGCATAAAGATATGGGATGTTTTCTTTTTTCCATCATCCTGGGGGAGAGTATATTACCTGTGTGGCATCCCATGTCCTGCTGGTCTGGGGCTTCAGCTGCAAGCTTGGATCTGGGTCTCTTGTAGCAGTGTGCTACAGGCCCTATAGTGTGACATACTTAGAAGATAGGTAGGCAGTGACATCTCCAGCTTTTTCATCTGGCAGAAGCTATATGAATACTCTATCTGCCCGTTCACATATCCTTTAAAGGAAAGCAGGTCCCTAGGAGCGCTGGCTTTCATTTGCTCTCCTGTGGTCCACTGTACCATATAGAGGCTGCCCTTCAACATTCCCCCAGCCAGGGAGGTCTGTCTTCCTCAGCCAAGTTGAGTTGCTTTCAAGTCAGTCTTTAGGGGCCCATCAGCATTCCCAGTTTCTCAAGTGAACCTCTTTGCTCTAGCCAGCAGAGTCCTCTCTTAGCCTAAATTGTTTTCCAGTAAGACCTGTTCTAACCTATGTCTTCCCTTCAGATCATTGAGTCCCTCACCCAGTCCGTAAATAGACTGAAACAGGAGAGGGAGCTTCAGCAGCAGCAGATCAATAAACTGGAAGGTACTGATGAGTTGCCTGGTTTGAGGTCACTGTGAGATGCTTGGAGATGCTTGTTATACAGATTGTGTCCCTGTCCGTCTGGGGTGCTGTTGGTGAGACAGCAGATTACGAGCATAGATCTTGGGTGGGGCTCAGTCCAGTGCTCTTCTTTGCTAAACAGGGAGAGCCAAGGCTGTCAGATATACCACAGCACCTTGAGTCCAATTGTCTCGTTCTTCCTTTTTAGTGATACTTGTTATACCATCTGAGCACTGTGTGGGGAAGGATCAGGGGTGTTGGCTCTTTGTTACATGCCGGGATACACAGCTGAAGCAATTGGCCTTTTGAGTGTCCTAACTGGAAATGAAATGTCCCAGCACTAAATCCCTGTCTCTCATCCCTAGACCACACAACTTTGTTGGCACAGATGCTCATAGGAGGTCAGCTCTGACCTTTGGTTTGTGCTTGTTACCTATTCTGCATGAAATAATCAGTTGTATAGGATTGGCCATGAGAATTGAACTCCCCTTTTGCCCAGCAGTCTTGCTGGGGGGTTGTGGGGAGCTCTTAAACTGACGCTGGTTGTGCCATACCCCTTTTCGGGGTGGGCGGGGCGAGGGTTAGCAGAGGTGCCCAATACCTCTGGCAGTTTATATCAGCATCTTCACCCTTTCTGTTGACATGCCTGAGACCTAATTGCTTCCTGCTCTTCCACTTGCTGTTGCAGAGGAGGTTCATCGATTGCAGAACAGTCCTCACAGTAGCTTGGAGTCCCTGCTGGGACACAGGATTGAGGGACTGAAGAGCGAGTTTCATAACCTGCAGCAACAAATGTTTCACCAGCCAGATGGAGATTGCACTCCGGATGTGTACCCCAGCTCCAGCATCCTGCAGGAGATGCACGAGAGGTCAGTACTGCATCTGGCAGCAACCTGGCTGATGGAGCAAAGGCTGATCTTCCCTTTTCTCTTAGGAGGTAACCCCTCTTCCTTTTCTTGCAGCAAAAAGCTTCTGTGGCAAGAATATGAATGTGTGAGGACAGAGGTAGAGCAACTGAAGGACACGCTGAGTAAGTGATGCTCTGCACTGCTCACTGGGGGGTGGGCAGAGAGGGTGTCTTGGCACTGCCTGGGTACAACAAGCCAGCAGTGTCTTGGGAGCCTGACCAGGAGGGGAAATGGTCCTCAGTTGGGAGTATTGGGGTGTTTAGTTCTGTTGACAGTCCCCATTCGGGAGGGAGAGAGCAAGGGACATTGTGGCAAAGCGGGCCCAGTGTACTTCATGCAGTACATTGGCAGAACTGTGGGAGAACAATCTCTTGTGCTGTGGTGCTTGGGGAGATGGTCTCTGCCTGCAGGGTGCACTGTTGCAGTGCACTAGCCATTCACTCACTTCTATACCTATGTTTTTAAAAAATGGCACAAGACAAAAATACTGGGAAGGAAAAAATGCGCTGCTGCTTGGCCTTTCTCGGGGATGACTATCTGGTGGTACTTTGCCTGAATAAAAGTCCATCCCCAAAGTACCCTATGCTTTAGATGATCAAACTTTGCATCTTGTCTTAAGAGCAACTGTAACAACCCCTTCCTACTCATCAGCCCCCCTGTCAGATCTGCTGACTAGTCACCAGAACCTGTTTTACCTGCTTCACTTCTGTTAGGTTCCAGACCTAATATGGCTGTAGAAGAGGGTGCAGGATTTTATTTTTGTTCTGGAATTTCTGGTAATGGGTTGTAGTAACAGTAGGGGGCATCCCCTCTGGAGGCTGTACAGTATATACTCCCTATAACGAAGGGTAGTGTTTGAGCTGTGGAATTTTTTTAGCATTGATGGAAGAAAATGAAAACACCTGCCTTGAATCTCAGCTCTTAGGCTCGTTATACTGCTGTTGTTTTGCATTCTGGGGATACCTAAAGCACTCAGCCAAGACTGGGTCCCGGTTGTACTCGGTCAGTATGAGCACAGAGTGCAAGACCATATCCTTCTACAAAGTCTGCCAATCTGAATAGACAAGACAGACACATTGTTGGGAAGCAGGTTGACCCACTGTTTACTTGTAATACGCCAAGCTCAGTGATGATAGTAGGCAGTATGTGCAAAACCCCACTGCCATCTTGATCAGTGATTCGGAGCAAAACTGTGTGCTAAGGAACTTGGACCAAAAAGACCTTTCTGATTTGAGCCTTTTATGCACTTATGAAAGTAATGGCACTGGGTATCACACACAATTCCCAGGAGGGACCAGCAGGCTGTGCTCATTGTCCAGATGAGTTCTCAGTGGAAAATGATTCTAGCATCAGAGTTGCCCTCTGAGCTTTTACTGAGACTGCACAGAGACATGAATGTAGAGGTGGCTGTTTAAAAACAGGCATAGGATTGAAGCAAATTCAGCTGTGCTCAAGACCAAATCAAGTCAATTAGTTGTGTCTGTCCAGGCAAAGCCAAATTGTTTTTCTTCTCAGACCGGCAAGAGGAGGATCTATTCCATCAGATGTCTGCAACTGATGAAATGAAGAGAACTCAAAGTCGATACTGCAAGGTACCTTGTTTACTGGATCACTTTTCCCAAGAAAAATCTAAGCATGTGCTGTTCTGATGACCTGCGGAACCCACTGCCTCAGGGCAAGGCAGAAAGAGGGCGAGTAGGATTCCTTATGGGACCAGATGTCATCAGACCCATGTACGGATAGAATTTTCCATTTTAATAGCATGGGCAAAAGTTGCATGGCTGTGAATTTGTCTACTTCAGCCCTACGTGGATCACCAGTTGGGGGCAGGAAAGATCTCCTGTCATGGACCAGCATGGTAAGAGAATCCAGGAACTTCATGGAACTTTATGCTCCTCTTGAAAACTGGAGCAAAGATCTCAATTTTTGGTGGCCTGCTCCTGTATGCCAGAGCCTTTATTTTCCAGGTTTGCTGCCTTACCATTGCTATGATGCTTGGTGCTACATTGACAAAGGCTGGGAGGTGCTTACATTTACCAGTCTTCTCATTGCTCCTGAGAGTAGACCCAGCCCTTGTCTCTGCATGGGTGCAGTGGTTGTATTTTTTTTCTCCTTATGTGACCATGTTGATGGGATTAAACATGGAGCTTGTAACAGTCCTCCCTGTGAGGGTATTACACAATTTGTTGGTATTTCTGAGATTCCCAACATGGGGGTGACTGGTTGCTGTATATGGAACATTAATATCAGCGTGATTACAATCTGAAAGGAAGGAATTTATTTCTTCTTTATTTAATATCAAGGTTGTGGTACAAACCCCAAACAAGAGACTGCTATGCTAGATGCAGTATATACACATTTCTAAGGGGATTGATATGTAAAGGGTGGGTAAGACGGGTTTATTCAACATGTATATAGGAGTGTGTGTGTGTACCTAGTGGGGAAAAAGGCATGGGTACTTATATGTAAACACCTTGACTGCCCCCAGCCCCCCTTAGTCTGCTGGTACCACAGGCAAAGTGAGGGAGCTTCAGAGCAGAGGCCTGGTGCCTTTAGAAGCCCATCCAGGAAGGATGTTCCATGCTAGGGTGTGGACACATTCACAGTTGCGACTGGTAGCTGTCAGGACATGGGGATGAAGGGGGCAGAGTTCTGAAAGGCCTAAAATACTCCAGAGCTAATGAACAGATCTAGTGCTAATTTTCAGCAGGCAGCAGCCCTTGTGATTTTTCAGAACCCACCTGCTGTAGGACCCCTTCTCCGTACAGTAACCTGTCCAAGAGGGGCTGAGCTTGTTCTCAAATTGACTGGTATTATTGGGGGAGGAGGAACACAGAGTTTGTGGGTGAAACCTGGCTAGCAAGAGGTCTTCAGAGTGGTTCCTAATGTGCATTGAGGAGGACTGGTCTGAGAAAGAGATCTTTATGTTGCAGCCTGTCACTTCATGAGGGAATGGCCTATAAATACTGCCTTCTGTGTGGGCAGGGTGGAGTGCTTCTTGTCATGGAGCTGTGGGTCTCCATGGCTGTTTTCTGGAGCTGTTTCAGGCCCATAGTCTCCCATAGTGTGAGTCAGATGTCTGTTTTCTGCTGGGCTCAGAGCTGCGGGGTAGAATCAGGGACCATTTTTAAAGAGTCCTTTGAGGTGGTGTCCCCTCTTCTCTTCAGATGCTGGAAGATCTGATGAACAGCTACAAAGCTCAGTCTCACGACTTGGATAAAGCCAAGGTGGAGACGCGGAGCACCCAGCAGGAGCTCAGCCACGTCAAGTAAGAACGTGTCCTGCCAGGGGGTCTCATGAAAAATGTAGCACTGTGTGTGTGTGCATTGCATGGGTGGCGGTGGGGTGACTCCTCTCCCTTTGGCACACTTGCTGCTGTGTGTCCAAGTGTAGCTATTGTTCCCAAGGGCTCTCATCCCAGCTAGCACCAAGAGACCTGTTGTTTGCAGTCGTAGAGAAGCCAAAGTCTGCACTCCCACCTGAGCCTCAGGCAGCCCCTCCAGTGTTGGGGTCCCATGTCAAGGCAGCGTGTAAGGGAATTGGCACTGTACTGACTAAGGCTAGGGGTAGAAAATATCCCTCTCCAGTCACACTAACCAGGGTGGGACCATGGTACTCAGTTTTCTAATGCAGAAGGTTCTGGGTTGTCAGCTCTGGAGGTTCAAGTCCCCTGTTTAAGCCTGGAATACACAGGGCATGGTCTGCTGCAATTCAAGCTTGTCCCCTATGCTGGAGAAGATCTCTGGCTTGGGGCAGGTGTTGCATTTGATTGGAGATATCTTTGCCAAGACATCCAATATGGCAACTGGTGTTGGTGTCTCTTTGTGAGAAGGATACCTGTACGTTGACAGCCAGGTCGAGCACTTCCAGTTTGTTTCACATAGGCATGAAGCAGCCATCTGGTGCAAATGACTTCTGCCATTCCTACGCTAAGCTGACCCTGAGCTGGGGCCTTGGCAATGAAAGGTTTTGTATCAGACAGCTGCTCCCCTGGGCCTCCCAGTCCCTGTGTGGGCATGCACTGTGGAATGGTGCCTACTCATTTTCCCTGGGTCCCGACATACTGGAAGATCCTGCTGTCTTGGAGTTAACCCATGTGGCTCCCCCTTTACTTCCTTCATTTCCTGTCATCTCGGCAGGAATTGCCTCTTGCCTAGGGCCCCTCTCAGAAGAGATGCCCGCTTGATTTGCCTAAACTCCAGCTGTTTACCAGCTTGCCCTCCTCTCCTCTCTCACTGCATTCCACCAGTGGGAACAGGCTCTGCCGTTTGTCTGCAGCCTTTGCTCCACCGGGCCTTGTGGGCTTTGGCTTGGTCCCTGGGGAGGATGGTGACGTCTGAGTTTCTCTCTTGACAGTTCTTGCATCTGCCTTGTTCTGTTTAATTGTACCCTTCTCTGTCCAATCCCAGCTGTCCTGGGATATCTGCCAGGTATAGGAGTTGATGTGGGTTTAACTGAAGATGGTGGGACTCTCTAACCCTCTTTCCCACATACCCTAGTACTGCGGCAGGATAATGTTTCACAGAAGAGCTGGCCCATCCTTCTGTTGTCAGTCACTGATCCCTGACAGCTCCTTCTCAGAGGAGTCTTTTGCCCACAGCAGCCCCATTCATCATCATCATCATCATCATCATCATCATCAGTCTAATACTGAAGTCCTTTGTGACACAGCAGTGCTAGGCTTAGTAAATATTGTTCCAGAGAAGCTTTTTTTTTAAAGATCTATGGATTTGGCAGGCTTTTACCAGCCAACAGAAACATTATGTGCCAGTTTGGGACAGGAAGTGGAGAGTACATTATCCCCAGGACTGTGGGGCAGCAGCAGCCTAGGAAGGCAGAATGTAGCTACCGCAGTTAGAAAAAGGACAGGCTGCTGGCAACAGCATCCTTAGCACCTGCTGGAAGGAGCTCTTCCCACCACTCGGCAGTGTCCTGTCCGATGGCATTTGCTCTGCACAGAGCTGTCCTCTTCTTGTGATACAGGGCCTTGGACAAATGCTGACAAGGACTGGTATTATTGCATCCACAGAGCACAAAGCCCTTCTCAGATACTGAGGTAATTCTTGCAGTCTTCCCTTCCCTCACCCCTGTGAAATGTATGGGGACATGACCCCCTCACTTCACAGCTGTGTAGCTTAGATGCAGAGGTGGCATGACTCGCTCCTGGTTGCACCGTGAGTAAATGACAGAGCTGGTATTATAACCCAGGGGTCTTGCCTCTGTCCTTTTCCTCTGATGCCTTTCCCCACCTTCCCCCATTAAGAACCAATATTACTGGGAAATATGCGAGATAACACATAGTTCCCGCTCAGCATTGAGCTCAGCAGGGCTCTGTTATTAAATTCATGTTGATTAATCTTCCTCTAATGTCAGAATCCAGACTTCCCCGCCATTCTATAGCTTACCACCATGGAGGACATTATATTAACTTGGAAGCCATCTCCAGTAATGGGATTTTATTGTAGTTTGTGGTTAAACATTGATTCTTGTTTCCGTTCTGTAGAAGACATGTCTCTGCCTTACATAATATTAGTTGCTCAGCAGAACTGCATCTAGCTGCTATAAACCACGAGTTTGCCAAAATCCCTCTTAGAATTGCCCCAAAAAATGAATTATGCTTCTGTCCTTGAAGCTGATCAGTGTTTGTTTCCATCAGATCTACAGTCACTGACCTGAAAGACCAAATGAAAAGTCTGTGCATGGAGGAGAAGCCACTTATGAAGCTCATGGGAAAGAAGAGAGCTTGTCAAAGTAAGCAGCGTGAGCTTTTACATCACTGATGCTCTGGGGATTTGTTCCTGGAGCCTATTGTTGATTTTTGAAGCTTCCTGGCTTGGAGTCGTAGCCATGTCACTTTAGTCTATTCCAGAGGGGGAGCCTGATATATCCAGAACTGGGGAGGAGATCAGGCAGGGAGGGATGCTGAGGAGTCTGGGATTTTTCATTTCTCCTGGGAAGTTTATGTTAATTGTACATTCATGAAAGTCAGGGTTGGGAAAATTCAGTGCAAGGGCATTCCACCCAATATGCATCCCATGTAAGGTTATGTGCTTTGGGACCTGTCTGCCCATATAGTCATTCCCACCTGTGCCAGGTAGGAGGGAAAGACTGTTCAAACAGGTTAGGAGTATTTTTCCAGGTACAAGAGATGGCACAAATCAAAGGCAGCAGAGAATTAGACCTTGGCCTTCAATCATGGACTCAGCTTTCAGCTTATCCTGCTTCTCGGTGCATTTCTCCTAGAGACAATCAAGGACTCGCTGAGAGAGGAGATGTTTACTTCCTCCGTGATTGATGATTCCACCTCTGAGCTCAGTCTTACAGACGTCAGCTCCGATGAGCTCTCCAGCACCACAGAGATCAAGGAGCCAGAAGGTAAGCATAGCGTGGCTGCTATAAAATTCCTTGGTATTTGAAGATTATAATATTTTCAGTGGGTTGTGAATATCCAATGCCTGAAGACCTCCCTGTATGCGTCCTGCTTCCTTTCCCTTCCAGTGTCTTAGTGAACCCTAAACTGAGGTCACTAACAATTGGATCAGAGCCCCGAAGCTGTTCCAGGACTGGTTGGTAGGTATTTGACACCCAAATATAGGGTGCTTCAGTCATCAGGGTACTAATAGATTTGGGACTTCTGGGTTCTAATCCCAGCTCTCCACTCACTAACAGATTTGCTCTCCTGGCCCTGAGTCTGACCTACACAACAAAGGTTTACCCTAGGTGCCTAGTGGGGAAAAGATCGCACCCCCTAGCTGATGCAGCTATGTTGGAAAACACTCTAGTCCAGTGGTTCTCAACCTTTTGTACCAAGACCCATTTGTAAACATCAGTGGCCAGTGCCCCCAGGCCCCAACCCCCTAGTGTGTGGGGTGGGGGCGAATATGTGGGGCAGGGGGGATGTTGGGCATGGGGGGGCCCCAAGCAGCCCCTCACAGGCTGGAACTCTGCCAGCCTGCAAGGGAAAAGCCACCATTTCTCAGATTT